AGGGTTGAACGTAAATTTGTTTTACTAAAATCATCTGTTAATAGTGTTCATTGGTTCTCAAATGCCATTCCTTAACATTTTCAAAAAGTAAGTCTATCACCAGATTACTCTAATTGATTTCATTCGTAGAGTGGTTTTATCAAGAGAGCCTACTTATTTTACTTTTGTTTTGTACATCCATCTAGTTCATTCTATTACTGGATCCTTTCTGGTGTCCTCTTTTGTTTTTTTCCCTTTCAATTTGTTTATATTACAACTTTCTTTGCGCGTATCCCCACGCAAACGGGTTCGATCATGTTGTGTTGCGAGCAACATTGAGCAATGGGCAACGCAATGGTGAGCAACGCAGCGGTAAACTCTTTGCTCAATGTGTTGCGGCTGGGTGGGTGAAAAAGCCATCCGTTGAGTTGCGCGCAACGGCCGTTGCTCACATCGCAATGCAACGGCCCATCGTTGCTTCCAGGTATATAAATGCAATACAATGTGATCAATTGGGTTTGAATTGAGTACGGATGAAACATACAAACATGTAACACTACACAAACATAGTAGTAAATTGGCAATGAGATAAAAGTTGTAAAGGTCATTTATGTGAAATGAGTAAACATGTAACTAAGTGATTTACTTCAACAAAATGCACTGCTGTTGCAGACAGAATATTGGACAACTTTTTATCACCTTGATTTGCAATCATCAACCTCCTCTCTAGTGTTCCTCATATTATTATAACCTGTGACAGGTGGACTTTTCCTATCAATCTAGCATTGCTTGGTGTAACATCTCACTGGATCTCCAAGGACTTCAAACTCTATGGAATCACCCTTGCCTTAAAGCCCATCAAAGGTCCCCATACCAGTGCCAACCTTTCTGCCCTTCTCAATCATACTCTGGACTTGATTCACATCTCTTAGTGTTCAATCTACATCATAGCCAACAATGCCTTGAATAACACTACCATGGGCCAATGCCTTTCAACCACCATTCCTCAATTTTCTTCTTCACAAAACCTTCATGGTTATGTGGCTCATGTCATCACTTTGGCAGCTAAGGATGGGCTAGCAGTATGTGATCAAAAGGAACCTCCTCCTCCAATCAATGTGCTTGATCCTTCTGATCCTCTATCTCATTCATCTATTCCCTTGTTCATAAAGCCTGCCTCACATTCAGAAATTGTTCTTGATCCCACTCAGCTCTGTGGCTTCCACAGGAATATCAAACATTCTATAGTCAGCTCAAAACTACCGTTGATAATGTCATTTTCAGCTGTTCCGCGTTGAAACACACAGCCATCATATTTGCCTCAGATGCAAAAACCTGAGGAGTCCTCGGGTTTTGACTCCAAGGGAAGCTGCATCCAAGCATCCAATCCAAGGCAATGGCAAGGGCAAAACATTTGCCTCAGAGGTTTTCCTTGGGGGCCATCCGAGGACTCCTTGGACATTTGTTGCCAAGGGAACATTGCGGGAAGTGACAAGGACGGTTTAGTTCACAAGGTGTCAAGCTGTTGGTCTTCAACACACTTGTCACTCTTGTGATTTGTAGAGCTTAGAGTTGTCATCAAGTACCAATTCAATTGTAACCCAGCATTGGAGTGCTTCAAACTGGACCATGTGGAAAGGGAACATTGCAGGAAGTGACAAGGACAGTTCAGTTCACAAGGTGTCAAGCAGCTGGTCTTCAACACACTTGTCACTCTTGTAATTTGTAGAGCTTAGAGTTGTCATCAAGTATCAATTCAATTGTAACCCAGTATTGGAGTGCTTCAAACTGGACCATGTGGATTGGATCTTGGTTGAAAAATTGAGACAACTCCTATTGCCTCTTGCTACCATGACCAAAACAATCAAAGGTCACTTATACCCAACTTTCTCAGTGGTTATGCCTGACTGCCAATGGTTTGTGGAATGTCTTGACACTTTATGTTTTTCTTTCTGTTTCTTTTTGTTCCTTTTGGTTATTTTTTCACACTTACTGATGCTCTGCTACTTATAGGCCTGGGCGTATTCTAGATGTCAGGAACTCAAGGTGGCCTACATGCACATGATCAAGAAAATCATTCAATACCAGGAGGCTGCCCAGAGGAAGGCAATCTACATATGCTCCACAATTCTTCATCCTTACCTCAAATGTACCACTGTTTTGGCCCAAACTATGGAATCTCTTGGTTGGGGACAAGAGGATTTGATTCAATATTTTACTGATCACTCCAGCAAATTCAACCCTGCTTTGCACCTCAACATTAAGATTGTCAAATCTCAAGAAATTCTGAACCTTGACCACCCTCAACACTACATCAAGCTTCACAAAACGGTCCCAATTGAACATGAGGTGAATGAATACCCCACCACACCTCAAGAAGATGAAATTTGCCAACCTCTTGTCTGGTTGATCAACACACATCACTGGCCTAACCTTGCTTGCATGGCCAGAGCAATGCTTGCAGTACCTGCAACAAGTCCTCCTTCCAAGAGCTTGTTCTCTAATGCTTTGAGAGTGATGAGTGATCACCAAGCCTCATTCACTCCTCACATTATCGAGGCTCAAGTCTGCCTCAAGAGTTGGAATAAGGTGATATTGAAAAAGTAGTTGTTTCTTGATTGATTTCCAAAAAAATATTTTCACTTCTAAGTACAATAAAGTTTGAACACATGATAATTTGGAGAACAGTGAGATTTTTCAAAAAGTTTTATATTTCTAAGTGGGTGTTTAAACTTTAGATAGAGCTCTTGTACAAGTTGTTATACATGGGAATTTGAAGTAAAAGGTCACTTTTTCTATTTTTCAAGTAGGCTTGGTCTTAAATGTGTCTCTCCTTCCTAACTAAGGTCTTATAAACCCCTTTCAAAATTCAATAAACCCAGAAGTTGATGATTTTTGTCCTTCAAAACAAGCCTGGCCCTGCTTGGCCTTGAGCCTCAAGATCCAGGATAGGCCGTGGCTGGCCCTGTGCGTTTACAAAGGCCTTCGGGGTCACTCAGGGCCAAAGTAGGCCCCGAGGCCGGCCTCGAACTTCCGTGGTCTGGACACACCCCGTCTGAGTGTCTGAGTGTAGTATGTATGTACAGGCTACAGCGGCCCATATGGAACTGTGATGCAGCTGGAAGGCTTTGAAAGTTTCCCATCAAGCAACACATGCTTGAAGCAGAAGAGGCCGAAGCAGTTTCCAACGCACATGATGACATTGCCCGAGTTGAGGACGATGGACTAGCCAGCGATTTATACCTTTACGCAGGGCAATTCCAATCGGGAGGTTTCATTTCTTTATCTGAGACTGTGTCGAGTCCATCCATCAGCATCCATCAAATTTGTTTTTATCACCCAAACTATGTGTATGTGGTGTCCATTGGCTGATAATTCGGCCTTCCATCTCACTTCCTTGATCTTTTTGAAAGTACATTTGTGATCCTCAGTAAACTTTGAGGCAGTTTATCGGAAATCCCCGCGGTAGCTCAATTTGTGGTTTGCTGAATGTATTTCTTACTTTACGTCGATGTCCTCCCGTTATAATCAATCATGCTTGACTTGTATCTTTAAAAGTTGACGCACCCTCTCTGAACAATCGACCAAATGCGCTGCGAGATTCAAAAGTTGCTCGCTTTCATCGTACCCAAGCTTTAATCAACTTCCGCAAACCTCGCCCTCAAACCAAATTGTGCCACCATACCAAGACTTACGATTGCGTTTTTTGAATGATTCCACAAAATTCAGCACAAAGTGTATGAAATATATAAGAACCAGCGTAGTGTGCGTTTTCCGTGAACTTCTGTGATCGTTTTTATTTATTTGTCTTTGTCTGATGTATGAATATCACATTTACTATCTCAGCCCAAACTGACGCTTTTGCCATCTGCTATGCATTTGGTTCATTTCATATATTATTCTATTCTTGTGATCTTCCCGCGCTCAACTTCTATTTCTCGGCCTCTTTGAATGTATTCTTATATGTATACTCACACCCAATGAATTCCGCCCCGCGATTCTCCTTCCGATGGTCTTTTTTTGTTGTTGAGGTCGTATAACCTTCTTCAATCTATTGCATTTCATTGAGCTTTTCTTTACACCTCCAGCCATCTCAGCAGTTTGAATCTCAAAAGTCATCATGTTTACTCGATCTGGACCTTCGAATCAGTACACTCTACTTCAACAGAGTCCTTCAAGTCCTAGCATCAAGCCAGATACGCCATCTTCACCTTCTCATCATCAGTCGTGGTTTCGTCCCTCGATAAAAGGTCCGAAGATTCGTAAAATCGTCTTGTTTGTGACCCTCTCTACCGCTGTGGTACTTTTGGTCATCTATCGTGAGTTGATCATGCGCCTTCACACATGAATCTCAATCTACCAGTCTCGTACTACATCACAAAATCAATTTATTGCTCACTCTTTATCGTTGTCTATTAGCAACACTTGAATTCATCACCCCGGGCTCTGTCGCTTTACCCGAGGTATTGAGGTTTGGCATCAATTCAGCACAGTCTACTGCTTCCTCCGAATCAACCCCTCAACATACGGCAAATTCATCCCAATCAGTTTCCGCCTCTACAGACAACGTAGCAGGGCTCCCCACATTATCAAAGATAGCCGGACCATCGGAGACAGTGAATTCGTCATCAGCAGAGTTGAAGCCTGCGGAATCGCTAGTATCACCCTTGGCTTCGAAGTTGCCTGTATCACAAGATGTTTCACCCCCTACAAATCCACCCCATTCGTCTCTCTCACCTTCATCTCCCTCACAATCGATCCCGTTATCGACGCCAGTGCCGTCACTTGGTCATTCAGAGCTCTCGGCACCATCTACCCTTCCACCTCTCAACCAGCCTAGTACACCTCAACCATTGCTCGTTAAAACTAGCGCCTCCATACCTTTGAAAAAGACTTTGTGTGATCACTGCGGTTGTTCTCCTGATGGCAAGCTGAACCGCGCATTTAATCAACCTGATCTCCTCGGCCCAGCTTTTCTAGATGCCAGTCGTATTGTACCAGGTCAGACTGTAGCTCCATCGACGCAGACTCGCACTATGGGCCAAATTTGGGTTAGCATTACATTTTACCATCAACCTGATGGGACAGTGAATGACAAACTAATGACAAGCCATTTGTTTTGAGTAGGCATCGATTCGAGATGTTTATTGTCAGCATCCAATGTTATTACCTGAAGCCGCTGTCAATCTTCTTGACAATACTGTAGCCGATTCACCAAACCTGTCAACTAGAATACAATGGAACCTCACCAACACTGTTTCTTCTATTCCGACGCTTTACCTCTTTACCAAGACTAGTCGGCTAGGTAGGACAAATGCCTTACGACCTGACTATTTTAGACGACACGCCAAAACAATCAATAGACATATGGATCGCGTGCGTTCAAGAGGAGGCAAATATTTTCCCGAAACCGAGACCAAATGGGGTACTGGTCCTCGTCAGCTGATTTGGTTAATAATTGAAGATGGAGAACAAATCGCACCTGAAGTTGAAACTGTGTTTCGTGCAAGTGAAATACCTTTTATTTATCTAGCTTATGGTAGTACACATCGATATGGAAACGCTCAACAGAACGCTGCTTATGCTCTCATACATCGTCTCTCACGATCGGTTTATGGTCATGGCCCAATTGTTTCTATCGATGATGATGGAAATCTTTTACCTGATCTCTTCGACCTTGCTTGGAGAGTCAAACGACTTGGGGTTTGGCCAATGGGAAATCTTGGTCCTACCGGATGGGAAGGCCCTAAGTATGATCCTATCACTCATGCTTTCATCGGTTGGCAGAAGGCACCCAAAGATAATCGTCGATTTCCTCTCGACAATGGAGCATTTGCTTTCTCAACAGAGGTATTTGGTACGGGTAAAATGATTGGTCCTCGTTATTGGCCAACTGATTATCCTGGAGGGGAGAGTGAATTTGTATCACAGATTCTTACAAAGATGGAAGAGGTCGAACCGTTGTGTTTTAACTGGTAAGCTTCATAACTATTAATTCAAACTAGATTCGAATCGCTTCTAAAGCCTATCATCTTTTTTTCGCTATAGTCGTGTTGCCTGGCACAACCAAGCTTTAACGCCACAGTGTATTGCTCATGATCCCAAGTGTCGAGAGTTTGACATCCCACCAAAGCCGTAGAGCTCAATAAGTTTTAGAACAAGCTCAACCTAATCATTATCTTTTACTTTCTCAATCTCATTTACATTATTCTCGCTCTGCTTGCTGATTGAATATCTGGAATTTTACCATCTGATAGCTTACCAATGATTGTTATCATCTTATCTCGTACTGCTTGCTTGTAACACTTTAAATCTAACTCCAAAAGTTGAAGTGCCATTTGTCCCGACACAATCAGATTCACTACTCGTTTTCTTTAATCTTTCAATCTTTCTCGAATCATTCATTTCCTTGGGTTGTTTTTAGTGTCGTCACATCACCGCGTAGCTGTGTTTCCATGTTGCGGAATAAATCTTAATCAAAAGATTCATTCATTATAAACGGTTGATACCCTCACAGTCTACTATGGCATCTCCCCCTGCTTGTGTTCCATTCGTACACCTAAGCTAATTCCTCTGCAGTCACGCTCTTCAATGAACAGCTGTAGTGGCCAAGGGAGTACGGAGCCCTGGACTTTGATCACTATCATGGCTTGCATGGAGCATACGTACTCCGAAAGTTTATTACTACACCGCGCCAAAGACCATAACCGCTTGCCAGCATGCTCTTCATGCGGACGTTTTCTGAGTGGTGATGAAGGAACATTGATGGTCGTGCGTATTATGTAGTTTAACTGGATAGGGTACAAAGTTTTGATAATGCTTTGATGAGATTTACAAATAAGAAACTGTGATGAGGAACCCATAATGGGTTTAAAAACATGCTGTAAAAGTGACAAAGGTGATTCATACTTCCCATGATAGTACAACAGAAGTCACAGGTGATCTGATACGAAATGCTAATCTCAGCCTCTCTAGAATGTTCAATCAATTATTCCGATTGTGAAATTGAACGTGATGGGTGATGGCATCTGCTTCTAGTGTGACCGCGGTATTTTTGAAACCGGTGACCGTGGTGGAGTGAATATAAAGGTATCTCACAGGAAAGCATATGCGTTTTCGCCATCCTTCATGTTGGGTATTCGGGAGTGGGTGATTTCGTGCAGCAAGGCCTCTATCTGATTTTCATTTTGAGTTGGTGATAAAAGGTGGTGATTCTTTAATCCGAGGTGCGTTGGGCGAATTCTTGGGTCACATTGAGGATGATTGGCAACGCACCCAAACCTGTTGTCCCTGGATGCACGTATGGGGCCATTGTTCCACTGGTTCAGATTGGGGACTTCGTCGAGCAAGCCTACAAGGCCAAATTGCGCTACAAACGACCAAATCTGGATATCAGGAATCACTTTGAATGTGACCAGCAGAAGGAAGGAAAAGAATCTAGTCAGCCGTTTCTACCGGAGGAATTTGGATTGAGCTGAATGATTCTCTTGATGTGAGTCAGCACTGGGGAAACAATTAATGCTTAGGCGAACAGGGTGACAGGATGCCGGCCTTGACCTAAAAAGGTACAAAGATGAAAGATAGTTTCGTCAATCTTTTCGAATTCTACTCTGGTTTATTGAAATGTATCTCACCATAGTTCGCAATATCTGCCATTGACGGGGAACCCAATCACGTGCACAAACCAAGCTCTGCATCGCTAGAACGTAAATCATTCGTAATCTGTCATGCCGCGTATGTTCTTCGCCTGACTGGTTACTTCCATGAGCCGCCGAGTAGATTTGAATCTTTGGCAAGACAGCATAGTGTAAGATGATCGAGACCAGATGCAAAAAGGGGCGTTCGGGTGCCTTCAAGTCCTTGACAGTCTGCACTCAATAAAAAGAACAATGTAACGCAAAAAAGGTTCAAATGAAAGTTGGATGAAATTGGAATCATTGATATTACTCACGCTCGCCACACATAATCTCAATAGCTCTTCCGCGGTGGCCATTATCCCTTTAGAGTAATCTGGAACAATCTATGCAAACAGAAGACCCGTTGTTGAAGGTCTCAATGAATCTAATTGAGATGTGACAAAAAAACTTCGCTACGTACGTTATCATGTAATTCTTTCAAGGAAGTCAACCCAACAGAACAAGGTCTCGTATTCAATTTCGTGGCATGTCGGTGTCTTACCAATAGATGCGCCGATGCGAGGTTCCGCATCTCGATGAAACAATAGTTGAGCGTCTTTCCATCCGCACTGTGAAGTGAAGGATTTCAAGTGTTACGTCGCTGAAATGTGATGACGTGATTGACCTCTGGTTTACTTACGGAGTACAAAGGATATGTATAGGAAGTGGACATAGTTCGGAAGGGGGTAGACAGTCCTGAGTCGGAAGCCAATCCAAAATACCTTCGACGGTTTGACCCCAAGAGATATTGTCCACTACAAAAGATGCGCATAGTGAAAGAGAAATGTTTTTGAAGATCAGCGAAAATCATCAGGCGAACTTAGATCGTTTCTTCAAAAGCTCACCTCGTACAACTGGCCATTTGTCGCATAGTATTGGACTCAACGCATCCGTGGAAGATGTGTAACTCGGAGTAGAAGGTTGATCAAAATTAGATTTTTGGTAATCAAAGGAGGAGGTTGACCACGAATGGTCATCGAGACTGTCTGCATCAGTACTTCTCTCCAAGATGCTTGAGCTATCTGGGGCATGATAGCCGAGGTGTCTGGATGCCTTTGATGGTTTGCTACGGTCTGGATGGTCTGCTGAATCAAACTGCAGATGCAATCACTTGTGAGCAAGAGGACAAGTAGGGAAAAAAAGGTGAAGGAGGACAAAACTGATTGAATTGGATCTCTTGGAACCTCTCCCGTTTCTGAAGGGCTCAAGATCACCATGCCGCACGGTATCTTGAAGCTTTCTACTAGACCTCCACAGATAAAGCAATTCGTCGATAGCGGGCGGGGATCATTACAAGACATATTCACGAGAGAGTTGATGCAAATCATACAGATAGGATGAAGGCAAGGCTTGAGAAAAGATAACCATCCAGTAGGTTGAATGGCTCCACAAGAGGAGCAGGCAGTAGGCTCCGTTCCACGATACGGTTTATAAGGCATCTTTACCTCAGCTGAACGATCAGCGTGATCGCGATATAACGATCGCAACGGTAAATTCGGCTCGCGCGAAGTGAACAATCTTGTTGACCTGTAGGTATTCGGGGTATTCTCAAGTTGACTCATATCATAGCTCCGTTGGGCATCTTTTAAGGCCTCATCACCGGAATAACCCTCGTTGCGCGGCCAATCGTCGTGAACTCCCAAGAGACCAGTCGGCTTTCTTTGACCGGTGTTCTGGATACAAACATTGATTAATGACTCGCCCAATGTAAGAAGAAGATGGATGCCTCACTGACCGACGAGAAGATACTGTGGTTTGGAACCCAAGTGTCATTCTTGAGTAGGTTTACACCGTCAGGATAACCACCCAAAGGATCTGTGAAATCCCGTTTACAAATGGTTTTCAATTTGGTTTGAGACGAGCAAACAAAACACCAATCGTCAGATACATATATGTCATCATTTTGAAGCTCTGGATAAGTTATCAATTAGCAAAACTGAGACAAACCATCGAAACGATCAAATCTGGAGTCAAGAACTATTGCAGGGTGAGTCTGGTAAAGGCTACTTCGCAGAGGAGTAGTTGGGAGGATGGGCTGAGGTTGATGAGAGGAAAAAGGCTGATGATGATACATTTGAGTAAATGATGATGATGATGAATTTAAAAAGGGAAAATTAAATGATAAATGATTTGATGGAGAAGTGGGATGTTCTGATTTGAGTATGAGTTATATAGGTATAACCAGACGGTCAGGAGGATTTCACTTTTGGTTGAAGAAGGTAAACAGTCAAGAAGACGATGATAAGTCATCAGATCAACAATCTCAATAAGCCAATCCATCATGATCTCATCGGCATCAATCTTTTATGTGCGTGTTTTTTTATTTCCTTCAAGATTCAACAGATAAGAGGAGTCACATTCTTCTTTCATATCCCATCATCACCACTCATACCAAAGACTACATGGATAAATCATCGAGACTTTGGAAACAGGCAATAGTTCATCGTCCACATTCAGGCTAGGAGAGGTTACGGGGGTCTCTTTAATTTTCATAAGGAGTTGTTAGATAGAGAAACTACTCCTTGATAAAGAGGTTTGAATGACAAAGAAAACACACCTGATATCTGAAAAGCTCATAAACATTTCATAGCAGATTGAATATGTCTTGAGATGAACCTGGTGACTCGATTTACTTGCAGATGTAGCCACTTTGATTCAAGTACAGCACCATCACGAACAGGTAACAATCACATTGAATCCCACAGTAAATGAAGCAGATTGGTTATGGATTCAGTGTTTAAGAGATGCTGTCACGTAGTTTCGGAGGACATTCTGAATGCCAGAGCAAACACAGTCAAGTTTATAAAATGGAAAAGGCCGGTCAGTGATGAGTGAAGATCGTATGCTTGACCACAAACGAGTTCTAAAAGTTATACTTACTTCTTAAAGCGGATCTGGCAACAGTACAAGTCTTCCTGTCTCTTGGGGTCAGCGTGATTGGAAGCTTTTGTGTTCAAGATTCAGGAATCAAGCAAAATTCATTACATCAGTAAATATCATTCTGGTTTGTGAGTTTACATGGAAACTTCGCTTCAAGACGCCCTACCGAGTTCTCATTATCAAAAGGATCTCGAGAGATCTGATACTGATGTACCCAGTCAAAGCATTTATTAGGTGAAGCGTGCAAAATGACTAACTTATGTGTCTGCCGTCCGTGAGAGCTGGCTTGTAGTCCAGTAAGATGTCGCAATTTATCATGATGATTTTAAAAAGAACGGTGATGAACATATTGTATAAGCAACATCATCAGATTCCTGGCCGGCAGGTCACAGTCACCTTGGACTGCACGGGAAAGAGACGGAACATGACATGCCATAGCCAACATCTGATCACTCAGAAGTTCTCATTTGACGATTTTGTTTTGCACCTGCTTGTCTTCGAAAATCACCGCACACTTGATCATTATGAATCAGCTCCTGTTACCTTATGTCCATACATACCTTGTACATTCTAGCTACAATTTTGAATGTCTCAATTCATATTGCAGGAATCATAAGTCTTGTCAGCCCTGGGTACATATGTATGTACCCAAAGACTAACTTGTAACATATATACAGTCAACTCCCTCCAAACCCATACCATTCTATGGAAGCCTAAAACTATGGGTTTTATGGGTGTATGGTTTTGGAGGATCTCCCTCATAGCCCATAGATTAAGGTTTGGCAGGCAAAGTATGGGTGAAGAGGGAGATAAAAAAATTAACAGGCCAATCAAAAAAATCATTTCTTCATATTCAACTTGGAATAGATTGCAGCAAAGTGGCACACAGTCTTAGATGATTGCAACCATTCCGTTTGTACTTGAAATTCCCAACCAAAAGTTCAAGTCTCTTCAGCTCATCATTGTTGAGTTGACTGGCAGCCTTAGCCGCATTTTATTATGCTATGATCTTCCCCAAAACAACTCTTTACCTTTCCAGCACAGTCTATGAGCCTTGTATCCGTCTACAACAATTTCTTCCCTCCACTGATAGGTTGCTTGAGAGGCTTGAATCTTTTGTTATTCTCTGTTTGTAGGGCATTGAAACCTGTTTTGATATCTGACATGCTGAATTGCAAAAGGTCTTTTGGAAGCATTTTGAGACTGGCTATGCTGAAAAATACACAAGGATGCAGGTTTTTTTCAAGCTGTGGCAAATTTTGGTTATGGCTTTTGACCTAGGTTTACTGCAAAAAACCTATGGGTCATGGGAATAGTGCGAGGTATGGGTTTTGGGCCACTTTTCCCTGCCCATAAATTTTATGGACCCGAATTTCTATGGGTTAGCTGGAAGTATGGGATTAGAGGGATATGGATTTCGAGGGAGTCGACTGTAAACACCTTCAAACAACTAATTACATGTACATAAAGCTTACAAAACATATGTAACTTGTAATAAATCATATATACATCTTAATTACATATACATATACATTTGAAATGATATGTAATATGTAAGCAAACATCAATTACACCTCATAACTCAGTGTCAAGAGTTAAAAAAGCTTATATTACATATCACACATAACATGTATATGTAATTAAGTATTATTAGTACTAATCCCAAATAATCATAATGATCAAACCCTAAACCAAAGTAGGGATGTAAACAAATCTCACCACAGTTAGGTTTGGAGAGGAGAGTATATAAACTCCTCCTCTCCCAGCCTTGAGAGATTACCCCCCAAGCTTTATTACATACTACTTTTAAGAACACTTAAAGTTCTACTGAAGTAACATCAAGAGTCTTATAAATATAAGACTAGTGATATCTTCATTACTTTAAATCAGTTCCTTGATTAAAAGTAAGTAATACTCTTCACTCTTCCCTGGATCCTCTACTATCCCCAAGTAGAACTCTAATAGGTTGGTGACCATATAACAACCCAAGGTTGGTGACCATAGAACAACCCAGGTTGGTGACCATAAGAACAACCCAATGTTAGTGACCATAGAACAACTAGTCTAGTGAACTTCATCCCACTCTTTAATCTGTCACTTGAAGATTAAAGGAAGGGCTAGGATCCACCCTTCACACTTTATAAACATTTCATTATCTTCCATTTCTCATCCCTTTCCTTTGTTTATAATTCTTTGTAACTACTTTTATATTTTGAAATATAATCATAATTACTTGAATTATAAGACCCACCTTGCCCAATTAGTGAGCCTTGAGTACTCAAAAGAGTAACCCACCCTCACATTTGGGGGCCTCATCGTGTTGAAACCCAAGATTTCAACCTCAATCTCTTACTAAAGTAAGAATCATCTTACTAGACAACTACAATATCACTTATCAATCATCAAAATCTAAAAAATTCTTTCAAAGAAAATCTAGTCCTAGTTGATTTTGTCTAAATCATAATCAAAGTTATCTCAAACAATATTTTTGAGCATTGTGATTACTCAGAAACCACCTTAACCAACACCCTCAAACTTAAAAGGATACAGTAGAAATATCTAGTTAGAACACTACTCAAGAATAAGAACAGCAAAAGATTATAATAATAAAGATCAACGAGTCCGTGTCACCGTGACATTAAAACAAAAACAAAACAAATTAAACAATTGAAGAAGAAGCGTACACAGTTTTTGGAAGGAGATCAAGACAGTTAGAAGTTTAGAATTTGAAGAGCAGACGATCAAAAAGAAAATTAGAGCAGAAAGAAAATCAGCGGGGAATTTGGAGTGAATTCAGAAAATTGTTTTTTTTTCGTAATCGGAGAAAAAGAATAAGACCAAAGAATTAGTAAGCCAGAACCCTTTTTCCTCTTCTCCCTTTAACTTCCTTTTACCGTATTATTTTTATTTATTTTTCCTCTTCTTCCTCTGCAGTATTCTATCTTCTATATACTTTGTTTTTTCGTTTCCTCTTCCTTCATTGCTGCCTGACAAGTCAATTCAAAGAAACATTGAAGAATTGAATTGAAGAACTGTTCTCAAGAAGAAGGAAACCACAAATCCTCCTTACCACCGTAAGAAAGACCATCGAACGATCAGTTTTCCACAAATTGAAACAAACGAAAAAGTAAAAGTAAGTAAACAAAGGCACGAGCCCTTTATCTTATAGATTGATTAATCCATTTTGATATTCCATCTCCTTTTGATTCCATCGAACCACTCTCAAAAAAAAATAAAAAATAAAAAAATCTCTCTCTTTGTCTCCTAGCGAATCGTTCGATCAAAACCCTTGAACCCAGAGTAATACTGCAAGAAACACTCAAACTCATCTGAAACCATCAGTAAACAAAAGACAATTACTTGCCAACATCGAATTAGAAGCCTCCAAAATCAACGACTTACAACCACAGAAGCCTCGAACGATCAAATCCTAACAACAGAAGAACAGTAATGCAACGAATAAGAGATTTTTAAGAGTAAGTCAGCGAACAATCAATAAGAAAACTCGTAGATCTCACTAAAAAGCTGACTCACGCCATTCTACACAGTGATTGTAGAACGAATCCGTATCGGAAACGAATTGAATCGACGGATTGACTATAAGAAGAGACCTCAAGCCGAAGTTGATCATCCTTCAAGCAGATCATTCGAAAACAAATCAAACTGCTACAGTAGTTGTATTAACTTAAATCAATCAATCAAATTTCAAAATCTATTTAACTTCATCAAAGTTATATACAAGATCAAGAGTAAATAGAACTTCTTGACTAATTATTATCTTTCTGTTGCCCTAGATCCTATTAACCATTACCCTCCTCTATCACAAAACATCAAATACTGATTTTTTTTATAATTTTTGGATTTCGTTTTCTCTTTTACTTTCTCCAATCTAGTGGCATTTCCACAGTTATTCAACTCGCTTGATGTAGCCCGACCAGGAAACAATAGCCAACAGCCAATTGTAGAAGATCGTGTGACCCAATCGACTCCAGCCTTACCAGAAAACGAAAACGTAGACGGTTCTATATTAGACTTTGAAGACTCCTACGGAAACGTACATCAAGAACCGATTGTTATAGATTCTACGATTACTACCCCAGCGGCCGATCCCTTAATAATAGAGATCGACTCGCCAGCGTCTGAAGATACTACGAGAGCAAGAATTCGAGCTGAGGGCCCTTCACCAGAAGAGTTAGCTGATCACCATCATTGTAAGCTATCTAAATTTTTTTCTTTACTCTCAACCCAATCCAACAATCATTAAATTGAAATTAATTCCAGGTAACAATCAAGATAGAGCCACAGCTCACTACCAAGAACAAAGAGTTCAAGCGAACCGTAAGTTAAATAAAATTTTTCTACTCGGACTATAAAAATCATACATAACTCTGGATAAAAATTTATTTAACATTTTATTTCTTTTTTTTTTTGGGTATAGCCGATACCTTACATCGAACTCAAGAATATAACAACCATCAATATATCAATCAAGTACAAGTTAATCAAGGTTATCACCAAGTCCAAGGAATAAACAGAGACCGTAAGTGAATAAAAGATTATCATCTTCTATCAACACTAAGAAATCACGTTCTAAATTGATTTTTTTTTGTTGTTTTGCTCTTTCTTCTTCTCATATTAAAATATTATCTCTTAATTTTTTTTTCTTTCTCTTATTCTCGCTTCAAATACATCAATTCAAATTATCCTTATCATTTTTTTTTGAAACATGTCCTCCAGAAGCTCCGCCAGCGCACATGGAACAGCAAAGAGTAAACGGTCAGTTGAACCAGTCACCCGATCAACAAGTAGATCACCAATGGGGGAGTTATACAAACCACTACCCCCATCAGGTAAGCCCAACCCAATTTTAGTCAAGAGTTTTGTTCAAGAGAAAGAAACTAATAAAAAAATCTTACCTTAATAACGTTAGACCCAACAACAACAGGCAGGCTACATCTACCAGCCCAACTATCACCCCAACCTAGCGTCTCCGGTAGTGCAATACCCAATAGCTCCCTCGCCAGTCTACCAACCTCAGGTCAACTATGCGATAGCTCCCTCGCCAGTTTACCAGCCTCAACACAACTACCCAGCGCACCCTTCCCCGGTCTATCAACCACGCCAACCGACTCCCGGCATGAGCAACAACACCATGGCACCACCTCCTCCACCACCACAATCGTACCAACAGACCCGCGCAACCGAGGAAGCCCGGTTACGACAAGCTATCCTCAACCACAAACGCAACCTAGACGAAGCGCGAGTAGCGAACAACTCAACCAACTTTTGCCAGATCTTAGGAGTAGTGAAAGAAGCCCACAAGGAACTAGAAGAGTTCCTTGAGGGACGTCGCCACCGGTCAACCGTGTAGAAGGTGGCAGGGTACAACCCTTATCTGATCAACCCAAGTACAATGGAACCCTTCGAGCATCCTTGACCAGGACCTTCCAGCCAACGTCGCAAGCGAGCTCACGACGAGGACCTTGAGGAGATGGCGGAGAACGCCTCCAACCTCCTGGACATGTTCTTGTTAGTGAAAAAGATGAAGAAAGACGACAAGGACCCAGAATCGAAAGGAAAAGGGAAGGAGAGAGAACAGTAAGTATCCTCCCTCCCCCCACCTCATCATTTCATCATCATCCATCAATTCTATATACTGAGACACCTTTCACTGGACCTCCAATAGATGAAAAATGCTCTATCCCTAATTCACCCTCTCTCAGCTCACTTAAGTTAGAAGAAGAAGAATTAGAAGAGGTAAAACATCAAAGACTGTTCAACCAGTCAGATTTGGTTTCCTACAATCCCTCCTCTGTATCTGTTTCAAATTCATATTTAGATTTAGAAGATCTTGTCAGACAAAAAACTTATGCTATTTACAAGAAGGTTGAGCAATTAAATCCAAATTTGAGTTCATTAAAAAATCAATGTGAGCAAAGTGAGAAAATGAGAGTTACTGAGTTCCAATTAATTTGCCAACTTCATAAAACATCTTATGATGATCTTATGAACAAATTTTTAGAATTGAAAGAACAAATAGAAGAAGTTAAAAAACTTTTTCATGAAGTCAACAAAAAAGAAAATGACAAAATATCATATGAAGATATTGTTAATAAGTTTAAAGAACTAAAAGCAAAAATTGCTGAGGTTAAAAACCAAAAAAGCACATCTGAAGAGGAGATCACAACTAAAAATAAAGGTAAACAAAAAGAAATCATTGCATCTGAAAGTAAAGAAGTAAGTGGATCAACATCAAATACTAGTGAGAAAGTAAACCAAGGAGAAACTGAAATTCAAAACTCAGAAATAACTCCAATGTACAGTCTGAATAAAACACAAGCTCTAGTACTACAGATTCAAGAAACATTAAACAAGAGGTTTGAAGACCCAATATTAAAACCTTCTGAACAAAACATAGTTAAACAAATAACTCACTTAGCTAATCAAATTGCTTCAAGAATTTCTGAAACAGAGAAAAGAACAACATCAAAACTTAACAGTATTGACAAAAATTTCCACGAGACAATAAGTAAAATGTCTCAAGAGAGAAATCAAGATAAACAACATATCAGAGAGATAAGTGATGTCATAGTAAGTGATCTAGGAGAAATAAAAAATGTAATCAAACAACTAGATATGAAATTAGATAAACAACTCAAACTACCAATCAAAGATCCGTATAACAAAATTGAGGAGCTGCTCAATAAATTCGGGAAACACAAAAACCATGTCAGCTCTACAATTCATGAAATAAAAGAAGATAAAAATATAATAAAAATTCGTGAAGACATGAATGAACAACAACAACAATTTGAATGTAGTATGATGAAGAATTATCATTCACTACAAGAGAACATCAGAGACCAACATGAACAATTGCAGAGACAATTAGTACTACAACAAGAAGTGCAATTCAAAAACTTCACGGAACAATTATTTAACAACCAAGAATTTTTAAATAACAAAGTATTAGAAAAGAATGTTGAAATACAAAATAGATTAAATCAAATGGAAGACAGAGCCAACACAGCAAGGATGACGTTGGTCCAAGAACTTAGACCTGAGAGAGCAAGTTATAACAACATCACACCAAGAGTAACAGATCATATAACTCACCCAGTAACTCAACGAAATTTGGATTCAATCTCAGAAGATAATCCAAGAGTTGATCCATCACTTCGGGGAGAGGCCAGATTCAAACAACACACAGCTGACCTAAGAGAAAGAACAGTGAATTATGTTGAGCCCCCACCAATTCAAACAGGAATTCAAAGCCCAAGAGCACGAGAAGAAACAATTTTCAGAGAAAGAACATTACCACCTCTAGCAAGTACAAATAGATTATTCGCCAGAGAAACTACTGCTCAGACAACTATTTCAGAGTCTAATAGAGAAGACAAATTAAGTAAAGCATTGACTAAACTATGGCCAACAGGCAGAGACTGGAAAAAGTTCAGTGGAGACGGCGAGTATAATCATAATGACTATATTGACTGGTGTGATGGTTTGATCACAGATTTAAAAATGGACCCACTTGTTGTTGTTAGTCATCTAAGCACAGCTTTCACTGGCACAGCAGGACAGTGGTACATTGACAAGCGTAAAAGTAAAGGCTCCATGACATGGGACCAATGGAAAGACAAAATTAATAAAAGGTTTGGAAATAGTGTTTGGAGAAATAACATGGAAGATTTGTTCACAAAAGACAAGTTTGATGAAAATATACATCTTGATCCAACAGCATGTTCTTTAAAACAAAAGAAGAGAATTGCTGCCTTTGACCCAGATTCATCTGAAGACAGAATTGTTAATAAAATTCTGAACAAAGTAGACGGGGATGCTAGAAACGCAATCAAAAGCCAACTAGTTGCTCCCTATGAGTGGGACATATTCTTAATGGTATTCAAAGATATTTTTGAAAACACAACCATTATTTCAAAGAAAAAATACTTGAACAGACCTCAAAGACCTTTTATTGAAAACAAGTTCATCATTAAAGATGATAAGTTACAAGGATCTAGTACAAAAGCTCAACCAAGTACATCTGAGAGAAAACCACTTAGAGCATGCCCAAACTGTGGAAGTAAAGATCCAAAACATCAATGGAGAGGATGTAAAGAAAAAAGAATAAATATGATTGAGGAAGATCTATCAGAAAGTGATCATATGAATGACAAATATGATTTTCAAGGAGGACAACTGTCTGATGAATCAAAATCAGAAAGTCAGGATGAGAAAAACCAACAAGATGTCTCCGTAATTGATACTTATAATAGTAATGAGAAATATATCAACATATTACAAGCTGAAGCAGAGGTACCTCACTCTTGGCAAGATGACGTGCAAATGGGTAATATAATTGATGCTAGATTATTGAAATCTAAACCAGCAGAAGGGATGGCACACACACTAGGTCATCATTCAATGGCTCGAGCAATAATTAATAATTGCAAAGTTCCAATACTACTTGATAGTGGAGCTTCATGCTCAATTGTAGGCAAACATTTCTTATCAGAGATTATACCAGACTGGCAAGAAAAGCTCCTACCCAGTAGTCATGTGAAATTCTCAGGAGTTAGTAGTAAACTTCACGCACTAGGCGTAATCAGCTTACAGGTAATTCCCACATGTTAAGCAATCAATAAGATTGAATGCTGAATTCGTAGTAATGGAAAATGCTAACAACAAATACTTCATATTGGGTGCAGAGAACTTGAATCAATATGGATTTGATATATTTCATAGTAAAGAAAGATATTTTACTATTGGTAATAATAACAAAAGTATCAAGTTTGCTTTAATGCAACATAAAGAGATTTTGTCCATTAAACCGGACATTACAATAGAAAGCCCAACAAATGAAGACACCAAAGAACTTCGAGATAAGATACTGGAAGCTCAGTTTGGACCCAACCTCACCCACACTCAAAAAGAGGATATAATCAAGATGGTGATTAAATACAAAGATCAATTTGGGTTAGGAGAGCAACCTTTAGGCATGATAAAGGATCATCCAGTACCAATAGAACTTACAATAGATAAACCTTACCCTCCTATATTACGGAAAGGTGCATATCCAGCTAGCCCAAGAAGTAGAAAAGAAATAGAGAAACACATCGAAGAACTACTTAGTATGGGTGTAATACAAAAAGTAGGGAGTGATGAAGAAGTAGATGTGACTTCACCTGTTTTGATAGCATGGCACAATGATAAGTCTAGACTTTGTGGAGACTTTAGAGCCCTCAATCAATATACCAAGCCTGATAGATACCCACTACCTAGGATAGATCAATCTTTGACAAATCTCTTCAGAGCAAGAATTATTACTCTGATGGATATAATGAAAGGATTTCATCAAAATTATATAGTGGAAATCAATAGCAGAAAGTTCCTTAGAATTATATGTCATCTAGGGATATTTGAATATATTAGAATGCCTTTTGGAATCAAAAATGCCCCAGCTTTCTTTCAAAGAATGATGGATACAGAGTTTTCAAAAGAACTACGGGAAGGATGGTTTAAAGTTTATATTGATGACCTTATTCTTTTTCACACAACTTGGAAAGAACATCTTGTAGCAATGGAGATGATATTGATAAGAGCTAAAGCAATGGGAATGACAATATCTCTAAAAAAGTGCCACTTTGGTTTTGAAGAATGCAAAGCCCTAGGTCATCGTGTATCAGGACTATGGGTAGCAGTAGATCAAAACTCAGTAGCTGCAGTACTACAAAAACCCTGCCCAAAGGATAAACAAGAATTGAGTTCGTTTTTAGGATTTACAAGCTACTACAGAGCTCACATTCCAAACTTTGGAATGATTACTTGTAGCCTCTACAAACTTTATGCTAAAGGAGTAGTCTTTGAGATGACAAAAAAAAGAATTGATGCAGTGAATAAAATCCAACAAATACTTACAACCGCACCAATCCTGTTTCACCCTGACTTTGAGAAACCTTTTAAACTTTACGTTGATGCATCAATTGAAGGGTTAGGAGCAGCACTCCATCAAACACAAATCATTGATGGAAAACCAAAAGAAGGACCAATTGTTTTTATATCTAGAAAACTGACAGACACTGAAAGTAGATATTCTTTGCCGCAGCTAGAAGCTTTAGCACTAGTGTGGGCATTAGAAAAATTACACTACTACTTGGATGGTAGTTACTTTGAAGTAATAACAGACTGTACCGGAGTAAGATCACTGACAAATCTCAAATCTCCAAGCAGACACATGTTAAGGTGGATGATGGCAATACAAGAGTATAAACCATTTATGACAATTACTCATAGACCAGGAAAATTCCACAACAATGCTGATGGACTTAGTAGAATGGCATTACCAAATGATTCCAGTAATCCAGCGTGGGAACCTGAAGAAATGGAAAGAGACATTCCGGTGATGGGAATCAGTTTATGTGAATTGTCTGAAGAATTTTTTGATGAAGTAAAAGCTAGTTATGAAAAGAATAGTAACACAGCTAAACTTACCAGAATATTATCTGCACAGAATACTAATCTGAGCCTATCAAGTACACTTGAACAACCTTGGAAAGATGGACTATCTCAGGGAAAAATTTCACTTGAGTCTGACCTACTATATTTTAGAGAAAAGCATACTGCGGTGTTAGTAATAATGACTACTGAACATATTCAACAAACATTACATGTATGCCATGATGAATTTATGTCAGGACATCTGTCGGAAGACTGATAGGACCCTGATGCGTAGAGGTGCAAGAGATGAGAGCAAAGGTCCTCTGGTAATGTAGATAGATTGCTACGTGAGGATTAGAAGAGTCTAATCCTCCAGACTACTAACTAGAGTTGTACTCAGTACAAGCATATGTAAGTATAAGCATAAGGTAAAGCGCTCATAACACCACTCCCCCCTTTATGTCTTGACCTCCTCTTG